ACATAAAGAGTTTATTATTTATAATTTCATAACTTCAGACTCGATTTCAACCGCGACAACGATCAATGAATATTGTAGGAACGCATATGCTTCCAATATTTTTATTTGAATTGAATTTATGACCCCATACCAAAACTTTGTAATACCTTTAAGTGCTACTCAGTCAGTAAATCATAGTCTGATTTTCAGACCATTGTACCGAATGGTCGTACGTTTTGTGCCGCGCAAAGTTTCAATCAGTTTAATTTTGGCCATAACAAGAAGTGGGTTATTAATGTAGACAAAATTAATGCTCATATACCCTTACAGCTCATTTTATGTATGTTACCCCCCCCCCCAAAAAAAAAGCCAGTCAGTCACTCAATAGTGTCTGACAGTGAATTCTAGCAAGTAAACAGGTTTCCTTGCATAATTTGAATAATAGGACACTGCTAATGTTTAAATTTCACAGATAGGACAAACATGACATATTCATAATTCCTGCAAAGTTCTACAGAATTTGATGTTGGCTGCAAAAGGGACGGTTTGTCCACATATTACCGCGTCATATGTGAGAAAGCCTCTATTCCTTTGTCTCCCATTCTGCCCCATATCGTTTCCATCGCCTACACGTACATGTACCGGCCTCCAGTCCCCGTATCTCCTTCTATCTCCATCTCTCTTTAGATTTCGTACCTCCTCTTTTATCCAAGCTGATCGCTTGATTGTGTATACATTTTGAGATTATTCTAACAGATGATACTTTTACAATTTCATTATACCAGTATCATTACACTTTACTTGTTTGCTGCTGGTCCTGATAAAACTATACGATCAAAGTACCATTATATTTTCCCCGTCATCAAGGAGTGTAGTGAAATTGAATATTCTTATGGGCTTGTCAATCAGACGTTAATCGGATGCAGTGGGCATGAAACTATTTTAAGAGTTCATCAATGAAACATCAATTTCCTTTGATGCCTAAATAAATGGTTTCTGAGAACAATTACATGTACCTCAAAATTATTATCATCCATAAAATCAATGTGTATCGGCGGCCTATTAAATTGATTACTAACTTGTGTGAATATGGGGTGCAGCCAGCTATCAATTTCACTTAACGGACGTTGCTACTCCGTTATGAATGGGAATGCCTGATCTACTTTGCCACATGTCAAGTCCCCCCCCCCCAAAAAAAAAAAAAAAAAAATAAAATAAAATAAAAAAAATAAATAAAAAATAAAATAAAATAAATAAATAAAAATTAAAAAAAATAAAAAATAAATAATAATAATAATAATACATAAAATAAACAAATAAATAAATAAATAAAATAAAAAATAATGATAGTAATAACAAATACAAAATATTAAATAAATTGTAATAATGAAAAAACGAAAAACATATTAAATGTCATTAAAATAATTATAAAAAAAGAAGATAATTAAGCTTGAATATAAATGAAGTTATCGGTTTTAAGAATTTGCCGAAAGCAATTTCTACGGCGTGTATGTTTGTGTGTTGGGGTGGGGGTCACATGTCCGCGTGTATTATTTAATTCGCCCGCACATTGGACAAAACGTACAGGTATAATAATTTTTGATATAAATATGCCGTCCATGAAACGTGGCATCATAAAATTAAAAAACTATGTCATTAATGTTTATTATTGTCGCGATGTTTTGCAATATTCTACAAGGTCAGGTAGCCTTTATTGGTATATTTTTGCATAACATAACTGCATTAGTGATATGCATCGTAGGAATTTAATCTTTGTGGAGAAGTCGTTTCTCATTTCTCCCATATTTCCCCATTGATAATGTCATGTAACCTGTACTTCTCAACTTTTTTTAAATAATTACCCCCAAACATTCCTCTTTATCTTCTGAATAAATCAGAATCGTTATAGGCTGAAGCTCCCCAAACACAAACGAACAGGCATCCTACTGTCTCATCTCGTGTATTTTCATCTCTTTGCCAATACATGTAGCAGAATATTTTCTGCTCAACATTAATGAAGCGAGGTTGACCATACACACACACTAACAGACAAGAATTTATGTAGGGTACAGACTACCTAGGTGACTCGAGCGTTGCATAAAGATAGAAGTTCCGAATAACTTATTTTTATGTCGTATTTGTATAGGCCTACTTCCAAAATTATGAAACGAGATGCACCTACGGTTCATGAAGAGGAAGGATAGTGAATCGAATTTGTTTTATATCATGGACGTCTACGTCTGTATATGAACCAGAACTGTTCCCGAAACTATCTCATTTGTCACGCGTTTAGCGCGTAAATTTTGTTATTTATTGGAATAGGTCAAATAGATGAAGGTAGTTTCCTGCTCTTCAAATCATAAACATTCGTAAACATTACCCCGCCGCCGGAGGTTTAATATTGCCTGTAATACCCCCGGGAGGTTGACATGAATGTATCACATCTCGGATGATTCTTTATTAACCATTTAAAGCCCATATACATTTCTTGTAAATCCCTAAAAATCAACACGTCGGATTTCTTTGATTTGACTGTTATCTGAAACAACATGGCACCTGGTTGCTTTAAACTGACGCAATATAATGTTAGTTATCCCTTTATCATGCTAATACGTCTGTTCTATTTAGTTTTTGTTTGTATCTTCTGGTAATTTTTTTCAAATAAATGAACTGAGGTTTTTTTCTAAAGATGAACAGGGTCTCTGGATCCTGCGCCGCTGTATCTGGTCCCTTTTGGTTGAAGACATGTCATTCACGTGCTCACGTATGGATTTTCTCATATCAAAAGACCCCACACACCTTCACTTACGACGAAACATAAACATCCCACAGATTGAAAATGTGAACTGAAATAGTTTTTATTAGATGGATATCCAATATCTCAAACTTCTCGCTGTGTGTGAAATAAAATAGAGCACAATGAAGTTCATAGATCATTTTTATTAGTTCAAGGAAGTTATAAATCATTCTATCAGAAGTAAAAATCAGATAATGGTCTGATAATGGTCCCATTTTCAGGTTAAATTTAATTAAATTTTTAATTTGCAAGCACCTTCTCTAATTTCATTTTATTGATACTTCTGTCGTTTTATATTTGCCCTGAAGGAATTTCTTTCTTTTCCAGAAGATTGCAATGTGTTATTAGAATTTTACGTGCGAAAGAAAAACAAAACTAGACCAAAAAATAAAATATGAATAAATTGTCCCCGAGACTCTTATAATACCTGTATAGGACGTATGCCCGTATTATTTATCGATTTGTTGAAATACAGAAGAAAAAAAAACGTTTGCTTAAAATAATCATGCCCGTACACGGTAACATTGGTAGAAATGTTGTCGACGTAGTACAGAAACCTTACATAATATGAACACATAAAGCAGTATAGGTCCATTGGTGCCCCTATTGTTTATATAATCACCCATTATATTTTCTGATCAGTTCCCGGAAAAAAAAGAGGAAGAAAGAAAGAAATATAATTTGTTGTTGCAGCTCCCATGTCCACGGTAGTGGTAGAAGTAATAGTAGTAGTAGTAGTAGTAGTAGTAGTAGTAGTAGTAGTAATAATAGTAGAAATAGTAGAAATAGTATATTGGGGGGGGGGGGTGGCCCAGCACGAGGTTGATGATGTATCCGACTAACTTTGAGCATTTCTTTACCAAACTTGAGTATTACATAATGATTGTCCAGTTAGGGTCGAAATGCACTGCATTAATTAATAACTGCGAAATGGGCAAAATGTTTACCAAGTTAGGTTAAAAATGCCTGAAGTAGGGTGGATATATATAGTTCCCCTCATATGGCACATAATTATTATTACCCAGTCTTTTTAAGAGTGTTAGTATTTAGTAGTAGTGGTGATGATGGTGGTGGTGGCGATAGTATCAGTAGTAGTAGTAGTAGTAACAGAAGTAGTAAGAGTAAAAAATAGTAGTAGTGTTGGTGAAGGTAAGAACGGTTTAATGTGCATGATTCAATTAAGACCTAATCTGCCCCAAGGTTCAAAGAGCTGAAAAGGATTTAATGGTATGAACGAGAATTAATTAAAAGGTTTTTTTCGGCAAAAACTCAGTACAATGTAGTAAAAGTATCGGATACAAAACTAAAAATAAATAGAAAATACCAGTTTGAATGAAACGTAATCGAGTAGGGTACATTCTCACGGGTACTGAACTCTACAATCGACACCCACCATGTACATGAGGTAGATTTAATTTGGACCGTGACACTGATGTGAAGGAATATTTATTTTTGAAGACCATTAGGCTCTTTAACTTAATGCTTCATTTCATAGCATTTATTTGGAGGAAATTATGACTTTGTTTGCCTCTTGAATGTTGAAGAGGAATTATTTTGATTTAACCAAAGACTGACGTTTTCTTTCGTATGTCCATGTATTTACATAAATCATGCCTCGCATTGTAAGCTTATAAACAAAAAATTATATTTTAATGACGTCGTGGATACTTTGGTCGTGTGTTCTCTTTGTTCCTTTGAACATGTGGATAGTTTGTAGTCAATAATTATGAGCGATAGGTTGAGAAACTAATTCCCTAATGTCTTTCGAGATGGCGTGTGCGCGATGCATATTATGTGCAGAAATATTAAAAATTGAAGGTTTATGTACAAACGGGTGAGTGCATGCAAAGAGCATTGTGAAATAGGACATTAGAAATCTTATACATGGTGCATTTGCTGTTGATTGGTGTATTTTACATTCAGGAAACGTCGGTGATTGATTGCGTTCCTCTGGGTGACCTGACGATGACAGTACGCAAGACGTAAAAAAATAACGTCGTTGGTTCGAGAAGTTGGTGAAGTTTTTAACGAATTTGAAGTGATAATTGCCGCAAATAACTTTATATTTGTGACACGGGGAAATAGGAAGTTCTAACGAGAATAATAGGGACTTTTAGATTTGCGTGGACTGATACGTGTGACGTCCATATAATGCAGTGCATTAAAAGGACGTCGATCGTAGCAATCCACGTTGTCGTTGTGCAAATCTAAAAGTCCCTAATATGATCGCAACTACTAAGGCAATTGTAATATTCTTGTCCATCACCTTTAGAAATGGACGAACAGTACAATAACGTATTACGTAATCCGAACTTGATTTCTACAGAATATACAATATGGCATTGGAGTTGCCCTTGAGTTGATTTTTCGATTTTTGAGAGACATAAATTCATTTACGAACACCCTCATTGTTCATACCTTCTTATTCGTTCGCGGGGAAAAAATTGGAAAATATGCCAAAGTCTGTTTGGTGCAAATGTCGTTGATAATTATTATGCACAAATTTGACTGGACAGAACCGATGTTTGCCAATATATTTTTCATTGTTAAATGTCTTCATCACTGCTATTGCAATCAGCAAAGCTGCTATCTCCGAACTCCACCTTTCTCGATTCTCGCATTTGATCCTCTGTCTCGATGTCATTGTTGTTCGAATCATCACTTTCTGGATTTATGTGGTGAACCATTTCTAGTGGTTGCGTTTGTATGTCTTCTGTGTGCCCTTCCGGTATGTCGTGTGGCCGATTGAATTGCTGAGTGTGACGCCACTTCATACGGCGATTTTGGAACCATACTTTCACCTAGAAAAAAAAGAAAATGTATAAAATTAGGGTACATTTTAATGTAGATCCTAGAACACAACTTCTTTACTATTGGAGCACATCCTGTATATGAAAATAGGTAGCCTATAGGCCATACAGTTGAGTGTAGTTATTGTAAATGATTTGAAGTTGGTCATCAATCGTGGAAAAATGCTTACCTGTGCATCTGAGAGGCCCAATGCAGACGCAAGTTGCCTTCTCTCTGGTTTATTGACGTACTTCTGGATCTCAAAGCGCTTCTCTAAGCCCTTCCTCTGCAGACTTGTGAAGACTGCTCTTGACCAAGACCTCTTGCGCTTGTGGTTCCCCGATATACTCCCCACTATCCCACCGCTGCCACCGATATTGGACTTGACGTCCTGTCCGTTGTCCTGCACTAAGGTCGATCGAATCGACGAGGCTGATGCAGCCTGGTGGAAGGACCGTGGAAGGGTGGGGTGCGAAGGTGGCAGAGTTGGTTGGAGTTGGAAGCAATGCTGAATGGTAGGGTCAGAGGTTCGGGTCCACGGGTAGGGACTGTGTCGTGATGGGAAGTTGTCTGTTGTCAAACGAAGGGAAGAAGAAAAAACACAAGACATTAACTGATGTGGATGCTATCAGATATTTACATTAACAAATTAAACAATATCATATTCAAGCCGAAGACATGAATCATATTTTGTTCCCTCTTTACTTTTGAGGAATTTCACCTGTTTGGTAAAACGGGGTTCACTAACAGCAATACCTGGAACACCTTTTGTGTAAGAATGCGTATGGTTCTTCTTAAGTTCAATGAAACTGCACATTATGGCGGGTAATTAGGCTATCAAACAATTCAAAAGGAAACAAAATATGCGTGTTCAGAAACCAAAAGAATTAAGTGCGGAAATGTGGTAGCTCTTAACGCGGGACCTATGAAAGTTTTTATGTTTCAATTTTCATAAAAAGAGATATTAATTGCCCTTTTGACTGATTATGTCTTAATAAAGAATTCAATATTTTTGATATAATAATTTATGGCAATATGAGGAAAAATGTCTAATCTAACTATTGCTTTGTTATTCAGGAAATAATGCATTTTTCTTTCCCGTTCACATGTTTTGATTTTTACCGTATTCACTTTCGGTTTAAGAAGCTACCTTCATAAATCACATGCGAAACCATCTCTTTCTCTCTCTCTCTCTCTCTCTCACCCCACCCACCCATTTTCTTTGAAAAAGTAACAAGGTATCGCCCAAAACAATAAGCGGCTGTTGTAGATAATTAACTGCCCGGTATTAATCATGTTCTAGATATGATATTCTAAATTAAGCTACAAAATAAAAATCCTCCCGTGTTGTACTAGTAGGTGTTTAAGTTTTATTGTGCAAAGTAATCATTGGTAATAGTATAATGTAATGAATATGATTCCAAGTATTATCTGCATGTATATGCTTATTTAATATCTCCATTTGAGTAGCTGTCCTTTCATCGCCTCCTTAATTAGCTGATGGTTAAGGATTACTGACTGATTAATTGATTGATAAATTCGTTGATTTATTATTGTGTTAATATCATGACTGATTGATGATTGTTTTGATTCCTGCCCGTCTCGATCAACGCTAGGGTTGCTTTGGCTCACCGTGCTGACAGTTATGCAGTCGGCTAAAGCCTATTAAACCATCGCTAAACGTCATATCACAAACAGAGATCAGCCACGATGTCTCGCTATCTCAATGACACTCTATTCGGCTTCTTGGTCCCGACTCTCAGGACGTGAAATAGACACCGCTCGGGTCATGTAATGGGTTGTCATTTGAAACATAAAGACGCGTGAAATCTATCAGTACGAGCGGCCCATAGTCCGCTCCCCTACGCCGCTGACTGGAGCCTCTTCCCGTCCCGATGGGAGTATCATACTCGCATGTTTAGACCGGCCCGTCTAATTAAACGTCTCGAAGTATTTAAACAATCAGCCTATAACAGAAACAATACATCAGTGTCAGACGAAATGAATTCCGAACTACTGATCTTGATTTCTATATCAGTCGTCTTGCAAAGCGATTAGAATTATATTGCGATCGGAAATTGCTTCAAAGAAGAGATTCCGGCGCTGTCATTTTATCAAATATCTGTAATCGTTATCGCTATATTAAACTAAAATAGTTTTGGCTCTCTAGAATGATATCATTTAGCTCTTCATGACTTTAGCACCATTTAGGCCTATATTTTCGTTCTGGAGGGTGTGCTTTCTTCTTCTCCGAGGCTCGTGTCACAATATTAGTTGTCTTATTGTTGAAGGAATAAGACAATTTTTCAAGTTTTCAGGTTATCCTCTTTTGTTTTCTAATCGCAATAGGAATTGTTTTTACATGGAAAATATGAATGAGTAGGTTCTTAAAAAATGTCTAACATACAAAAGAGAAATCTCTATACATGTTGAAGATGTTTAGGCGTCTATTGTGCTTGTCGACACTTGATGCCGATTTTGTAAAAAAACTATATCCTCCAAAACTAGCAACTAAGATGATTAATTTAAAATATTAATGAATCTGTTTCTTATTATATTTTGCAAAATAGGTCTACTGTATTCGCTGCCTGAAAGTATTGTCTTTGAATTTCATAGAGACTGGACAATGCTAAAAACATTTTGTAATGTAAATGATACGCCTTGATAAGGAAATGTTGCGTTACTGTGTAGACATGATTGAAGCCTCGGGTCAAAAACATCTACATACCATGCATCTCATGTGGCGTAACCCCTCCCCCTCATATTGATCTAAATATTGGCTATGCGACCTTTTGATATTGATCATTTAGACCCCCTTCCTCATGATAACATAGCCCCCAATCTTCCCCGGCATCCACCCTCCTGTACGCACGGTGTACTGCGGCCGGTGTGATACTGGCCTCTGTTTGTTTTTGCTCGCTATTGAGTTCAGTAATCAAGATGGGCTGGCTCCTGTAGTCCGAGCTGGACATCGACTACCATGCCCAATAAAAGTCATACAGTCTGACCAAGAGAGGGGGCCAGGTTCAGGATCGCTTGAAAATGATCCATGTTATAAAAGAAGAAAAAAAACACGGCCTATAGTCGCAGCTACTTTCGACAAATCATCATAAGTCATTTTTAAATGGATTTGTACGTCACCATTTGAAATGTGCGAACACCACAATGACATACTTCGTAATCTAAACATGATTTCTATGGGGCATACAATAGTGTAGTTGAATTGCACTCGAGTTGATTTTATGAAAGTAAAGTTGCGATCGTGCGTAAGTACAACAATTACGTTAATATCACCATGTGCCGACGAGGCGGTTATGGGCACCATCCATATACCCTCCCCCGCTCCCCCCCCCCCCCCCGAAAAAAGATAATCACATGAGGGCCTTTTTATCACTTGTTTCTGAAAACTTTTCATAACTTGAAAAAAATCAAAGCGAATCGAAATATGTCTTTTAAAAGGAATTCTTAGAGTATTGATTCATTAAAGTGAAGTGAAATGCCCAAGAAATCTGATTTTTAAGAAAAAAGAAGCACACAGTGAAATTTTCTTTGAATAGAAGTAATTGAATAAAAAAAAAAAAATTGTGTTAAGAAAATTTGTTTGCTACTTTTTGAATGAAAAATTTAACTGGGAATAAATACTGGAAGAAAATTTCAAAAACTTCGGAAGTATGGGTACTGCGGCATTGTCCCATATAAATTGACAGGGGGAAATAGATTTTGGGAACTCTATTAATCCATTTATTGCAACTTTCTGCCATTTGTGTTTAGATCAAACGCCGGATTTCGAAGCGTTTATCGAACTGCATTAATACTCCACAGTTCATTTCTCCCAACCACAACTGCGTAACACCCGACACCGAACTTCATAAAATCATATTGCCTAAAATTAACTTGACATTCTGTTCATATAATCTGCCAACAACAATAACAACGCTTTTAACCCATAACAAGGAACGTGAGACCATCTTCAGTCCGTCTAATCACCCAATAATGACAAGACTAACACCATTATATACACCGAATTCGGTATCATCTATATATTCCGTTTCGTCAGCCTATCACAGCAATACTAACACTCATCTCCAAACCTAATATCTATATTCCGTTTCATCACAAAACAAAACACCCTACACCAAACGTGATTGCATCTATTTTCCGTTTCGTCAGCCAACCACAGCAATGCTAACACCAACACCAAACTTTATAGCATCCAAAGCCCGTTTCACCAGCTAACCCCGGCATGAGCACCCTACACCAAACTTGATTGCATCTATTTTCCGTTTCGTCAGCCAACCACAGCAATGCTATAAACACCAACACCAAACTTTATAGCATCCAAAGTCCGTTTCACCAGCTAACCACGACACTCTACACCAAATTTGATATCATCCTCGATCCCTTGCCATGCCACCGCGCGTCTCTTGGAATGTCTGTATGTCATCAGGTAATGGCCATTAGGAGCCGACCGAGGGTGACGGATACAGTAACTTAGATATAGCGATAAATGGGTGATGATGACTGTTTGAGGACGAACAGAGCAAGCAAGTTCAAATTTATAGGAATTATACTTCAATATCGTTCCGTAACATTTCCTTTGTTTATCCGGCTCTCCGACTTTTATCACGAATGATGGTCGGGATGAGGAACAAAGAATTGGTTCTATTTGCGGTATTATCTGACTGAACAAAATGATTAGAATTCAGCTTTTAAGCTTCCTTTTTTTAAAAATTTGAATATCTTAGCAACATGGCTGCCGAGAACTGCAATTTTGATATTATCTATTCTTTGTTTGATGCTTATCAGAGAGGAAGGGGTGATGATAAGTGCATGGTAATTGCACGAAACAAAATATTCCAAAATAGAGGTTGTTGTGGTTCTTTGTTCTTGCGTGTAAAAAAATGAGTTGTAGTGGATTTACATAAATGCAAGAGGAACGTACGGATCAAGGTACGACACAGTTCGAAATAAGTAAATGCAATAGTCCAGTTTATGGGAAGGCAGTTTCTTCCCCGTTTCTTCTGATTTACTTAAAGATTTGTACGATATCCCCCAACGATGTCATGAAAATGATGCTATTTTAATCATTCCATGTAGCTATGCTGCTTTCACTGAAATGTCGGATACTACGTGTATGCCTTCACGGATTATCGAACCCATGTTACCCAAGTTACCAATGCTCGGGAAATAAAGAACTTTTTAGTCACAAGCGTTTTAGTAAGAGGAAACTCGACATGGAGATCCCCAGCATTGGTAGAACCTAATACATGTACGTGGGTATGTTCGAATGTTGCCGGTCAAATGTCATCGTCATCCGAATTCAATGGGCTGCCGTGATTATGGTATAAAATGACATCTTGATTTCAAAGTCAACATTCGAGTCACGTTTTGTCATGTTCCTACAGTAAACGAGGCAATAATGCCGAACGTGCGTAAAGATTCACTGACAACGAGGAGCGGATTCTGGAATTTTCGAGTTGGGGGGGGGGGCGTAATGTTTGAAAACTTCCAAGTCTATATAGGGCAGTATTTTCTTCTACGTGATTTTCTTTCTCCAATATGATGTAATAAAAATGCAATGCGTCATACTCGCTGTCAACAGTTTATGGACACTCATCTCCAGGAGGGGGGGGGTCGGGAGTTGGCAAAAACTTTTTTTGAGATGTATAGTTTGGCAATAATATGAGTGTTTTAGCCAGTCGCCCCTTCTGGTGCTTTACCGGGCCAGCGGCGGGCATGATACCTTTAATACTTTGGTGGTATGTGCCAAGGTGAAAGAGAGAAAGAAATCGAGCCGTCGAGATAAGGTGAAAGAAGAGAAACGGGAGACTTGGCGGAGCGTGTGCCTGTCCACGACCACCAAAATGAACGAGATTCCGAGCATAATTCTCATCATCCGTTCGACGATTAGAATCTTTCAAATTTATTGGTGTCGTGCTTTTGCCTTGCGGAGATACCGGCCTAACGATCGCATCATATTTGAGTGTATAAAGGCATCAATGATTTCGAAATAATAGTTTCTTAACTTTTTAAAGTTTTTACTAACAAAAAATGTAATTATCTAAAGCCACCGCACACTATAGAACCTGACTACGATTCATTTTGAAGAAATTGTCATTATAGCATATGATATGAAAATTCAAATTTCTAATATCTTAATGATCGAGGCTGAATAATATGACTAATGTGACTAATAAAATATAATTTTAAAGAGGTTAAATCGGCTCAGAACCGTAGTGACGTCATGCAGTAGTACGATTGTCTACGATTTGATGCCGATTCGGATTTTAGTCTGACTAGAAAGCTTACATGCTTGAATAAAGGAGAAAATTATACCCTCTATTTTTTCGTACTCGTCACCATCACCTTTTCAAATTATTGCCGTTACCAACATCTTATTGCTTTAGAAATTTGGTCAAGAATAGCATGATGACAAAATATGTCAAGTTAAATGAAGCAGCATCCAAATTCCTTTCAACCTAGGGTTATATATCCAACAGCGAATCTAATGCCAGAGTAATGTAATATCTCTCTCGGCGTTAGGCCTCTGACTTTGTTTCAAGTACAATCATTGTCTTCCCTTTATACTTGATCTCGTCAACCGAATTTCGCAATGAAAAGATGTCCGTAATAGTTCAATCTGCGACACCTCTCCTGATGAAAAGTGACAGTATTTGCCACATAGCAAAGATTCGAAGTCGCGTTCCTTTCCAACCATGCACGTGGTATGCCCTTGTATGACGACTGTGTATCATCCCTGGTCATGTGATGCATATTTAAATCGAATCACTGACAGTGAAATGGAGAGCGATGTCCATTGATGAGAAACACACTTCCAACTTTTTAAAAGGATGGGTGCAAACTATACTAGTATACTAGTACATGCAAATATCTTGCACATTTCTTTGTAAATTTGAGACTGAGATTTTTCTTTGTAAAAATTACATAAACATGTATTTTTTAAGTATCCGAGGCGTAAAGTTGCGTAATAATTATATTTATGCGGGTTGACCTAATGAAACATTATATTCAACTTTTTAAATGTTTTATTAGCCCACATTGCCACGTCACTGCTGTTATTAGATAGTCTGTGAGTTTGAAATGATTCTTTTGAATGACATACCCTTCCTATGAATAATGAATATGATAGAAGACAAGATTAGACTTACTACATCATTTTCCATGGAAGCATTTTCCATTCAGTATATCGCTGTCGGCACTGTACATTAAATGAGAAAGAACGGTCGCAGATGTAATAAATATTTTGTTTTGTCACGGAGGGGTGAATTGATAGTGTCATTATTAGTTAATGAGTGTTTAAGAGGAGAATAGTATACGTATTTGCGGGTAGTCTATAGAGGTTTGCTTTCAAATGAATTGTATCACCAATTATTTCTAGCCATAAATTCCCCAGTCAGATCAAACGAGACCGGCACTAAAAAGAAAATAAATTGCATTAACCCCCAAATTGCCAAGAATCTGTCGGTTTGGAGTCCGTTTTTGATCGACTATGTGATGTTACTGAGATATCAGTTTACGTGCTCTTAGGAAACATCATCGTTTTATTTTGATCTCAGTGTATTAAACTTAAACATTATTTGGTTTACTAACCGTGGTACTCTGGACAATGATCCCTAGCAACCCAGCCAACCCTCCCGGCCTCAGCATAACCAGGCAGACACTCCCATCTGCCTGCAGGGTGTCCAGGTGGGCGTGGCGACGTGTTACTCCACGACGATCTCGGGCTCGGGTAGGCCGCTGCTGCATGCTTGCTACCGGCCGATCTCCCCGTTGCATGGCCGTACAGTTCGCTGCTAGCTTCGGGTGGGACTGTTAGTTTCACCGTTCCATCGGCCTATGATGCGATGTTTATAATCTGTTGTGATAAAATGAT